TTGCGATTTCTCCCTTGACTGAAAGTTTTAACTCTGTATTTTGTCTCATTTTCTTATGGACCATGAAAACTTTGTGAGAACAAATGTGGTATTGACTGTACCCTATATTTTTCCAGGAAGAATTTGTGTTTAATATCAGAGGCATTTTAAAGATAATGTCACTATTTAAAGATGTAATTCTCCTGGAAATTTTTCACATTACATTATGTGTGCTGAAAGGGAAGAATTTGAAAGCAAATCGTTTGGGTTCTCATTCAGATTTCAGCTAAGCAGTCTGATTGATATTGTGGGCAGGGCCTGGCCTTCAGAGTTCTGAAGGACAAATACTGTATTTTTTCTTTTTGATTAACATTTATATGTGTTAATTAAATAAGTCTGTCATCTAGAAGGAAATGCATATATTGGAAAAAAAAAAAACAGAAGGAAACAAAACTGTGAATCTTAAGTCTAGTCTCTTAGATCTACCCAAGAACCAGAGTAGACAATGTATACAAATGTCTGTGCCCATTTCTTCAACTATAATATGAGAAAGCAGGGTCAGTTGATTTTAAATATCTTCAGCTATTCCATTAGCCTGTAATTGAAAGACTAAGCTCTGCAGTCCTACAAACTAAAGGAGGAAAAAAAAAAAAAAAGGAAAGAAAGCCTGTAGCAAAAGGAGGTATTGTTAGGTAAACAGTAATGTGACAGAAGGGAAATTGAAGGAATGAGAGTGAGAATATAAAAGGAAGCATCATGGAAAATGGAGATATCCCAGCGACCTGAGCCATCTGTAAGAACCCCATCTCCTCCTCCTACAACCCCAGGTCATTGTTCATAGATTCTAGTGATTCAGCTGAAGTACATTGCTTGTTCATAGTGAAGATGTGAATGGGAAGGTTTTATTATATTGAAGTGTACAACATCAAGCCAGTGTCAAGAAGTCATACAGAAATGGAGAGTGTGAGTTACCAAATGGGCTAACTCCATGCTCTTCAGTTTATTAAAACAGATTTCCCAGATTGAGACAGGGGATGAGAGGATTACCCTTAGAGGGACTCCAGACCAGGCCATACTACTAGGACATGAGTTGTTTGGCTCTTAAAGCAGTAACTCTGGCCAGAAAAAGTCTAGGGCATATGACAGAAAGGCAACAGGGACAGGAATCTGCACTAGAGAGAAGAACGTATGGAACATATGAAAGGGGATTAGGAACCGAAGAGTAAAGCTGTTGGAGCTGATATACCCAAATGAAGACATGTACCTTTGACGTCTACTGAGGATATTTGATGATTTTTAACTAGGAAAGTCTTGGAAAGCTCTATCTCCCCAGTAATTCTGAAACTTAAAAAAAAAATCTTCATAGAATCCTTTGATTTGGTGCAGAGCACAGATGAAAATCCTGTTCTTCTGCATTTAGGAGGTAGATTCGATGGTTATATGTAAAAATGAAGAACAAAGAAGAGATTAAAATATTTTTACTTGGTGATTCTTCCTCCTTAAAGTTAAGAGTTATAAACTGTATTCACTAATTTATCATATCCACTTGGATATCAAAATACATTACACAATATCTTTACATCAATAATTTAGAAAACTAATGCCTGTAATTCAGTAAATTTTTCAAATATGAGAACGAAATCAGACTCAAAGATATTTCTTACTATTTTTTAGAACTCTTATGCCATTATCACCTCCATTTTACTTTAGCAAAATGTATTGAATAAAACTGTTCCCATGAGAAAGTACTGTGTCTTTGGAAGTTATGACACAAAAATAATCTCTATGACTCAAAAAATAATCTCATAGTATATTAAAAACAACTAATCTCATATCTAAAATATACCTTGAACTCTAAAAATTAAATCCCCCAACAACAAATCTTCAAAGAAACAACTGCCCAATAAATAAGTGGGCTAACGACTTAAAGAGAAACTTCTCTGAAGAGGAAAGAAGGATGGCCAATAGACACATGAAGAAATGCTCAACCTCTCTAGCCATAAAAGAAATGCACATCAAAACAACATTGAGATACCACCTCACCCCAGTTAAAATGGCTAAAATCAAGAACTCTAATAACAACAGATGCTGGAGGAGATGTGGACAGAAGGGAACCTTACTGCATTGTTGGTGGGATGTAAACTTATTCAACCACTTTGGAAAGCAGTATGGAGGTTCCTCAAAAGACTCCACATAGAGCTCCCCTATGACCCAGCAATCCCACTTTTGGGCATTTACCAAAATGTTCACAAACAAGACCACACTAAAGTTACCAACACGACTATGTTTATTGCAGCATTATTTACTATAGCTAAGATATGGAACCAGCCCAGATGCCCCTCAGTAGATGAATGGATCAAGAAAATGTGGTATATATACACCATGGAATTCTATGCCTCCATCAGAAAGAATGACATTGCCCCATTTGTTAGGAAATGGAAAGACAGAAAAAATTCTATTAAGTGAAGTAAGCCAGGCCCAAAGAAACATAGGTCCCATGGTTTCTCTTATTTGCAATATCTAGTGTATGTCTGAGTCAAGCAGAAAAGGTCAGGTAAGTTGATGTTAGAAAAATGAACCCTAAGATATGTATTCAAATGTTTTTTTTCTTTCAAGTGATTGTTTCTAACACATTTATAAGAAGATTTCTTTGTTACTTTGTATGTCCCTCCCCCATGGTATAACCTCTGCTTTCACTGTATTTGATGTCGGTATAATTTGTGGAGGGGAAGGGGAAAAACAAATCGTTTAAATAGGAATACAGGTGGACCCATTGCAACAATGAGATGTACAAGTTGTTATGTCGAAAACGAACTTTACAACTTTGGCGTGGTGGAGGATTGGGGGGTGCAGAGGGAGGATGCAAAGGGATGGGAAGGGGAAACTAGGAGGAGGCTATAGTGCATGATAAGAAATATACTCATTAACTTGCCCATGTAATTGTAACCCCTCTGAACAGTATTTTCACAATAAAAAAAACTAATCTGAAAAACATTTATAGTCATAGGAAAAATGAATTTTGGTTTATCTTCTAATTATATATTAAATATATTTATATTTTAACCTATCTCTTATCCCTTGGAATCTATAAAGTATGTGTGTTTAAAATATTTGGGGAAGTGGCGCTATGGCTCAAGTGGCAGAGTGCTAGCCTTGAGCTGAAGAGCTGAGGGACAGCGCCCAGGCCCAGAGTTCAGGCCCCACGACCGGACCCAAAAAACAAAACAAAACAAAGGCTAAAATATTTGGGTTTAAAAATAAAACATTTGTTAAATTCAAGGGATAGGTAAAGACTAGAGAGATCAAACTTTGTTTTTATAATTGCTTTATTCCTTTTTATTTTCTTAGCTTATCATTTTTACTGGCTTTATGAAACCTTGACTAGATATATGTTTAGATCATTACTGGGCTCTATCATGTTAATAGCATTTTTTAGAGATGCTAAAAATGCCCTACCTGTTATAAACTGGAAGTGTATATAATACTTTTTAAATACTGTGAGGAAAACAGTTCAGTTTTAATTATTTTTCTTGTGCATTTTTTAATGTATCTAAACAAAGCTCAGGTCTATTTCACCCACAGATTGAGAATTAAGAATACCACTTTGTAATTTGATTATCTCATAGATGCATTTCTAATTACATGCATAACTGCTTAATTTAGAAAATGTTCTGTTACTCCTCTGTAATAGACCACAATCACTGACTTTTTTTTTTGGTCAGGCTTTGAGTTGCTAATGTACTAACTCAAAGTGCTTTTTCATGATTTGCATTTAAGAAAAAGTCATTTAATGATTGAACCATTTTTATCAATTATAGTGTGGTAATGATGCAGACATTTTTATATAGCTATTAGTACCAGCGCAAACTTCTTATGGTTCTAATGATTATCTTTTATTCCTAGAAAATGGAATTTTTAAAGTTGATCATCTAACAAATATTATAATCAATTGCTATGATTGTTAAGACCATGCTGTTATATAGATAGCATATATATAAAAACTCAATAGGATTGAAATTTTCCCTTTGTGTAGGACAGAACTTTTCAAAGAAAACACTGTCTAATGTTGAATGTCTAATGTTTTACTTTCATAACCAAGTAACTAGATTTTTGTGACAGTTTATTTAAGGTGTCAAGCTGTTATTATTTGTGTATGTACCAAGATTTTATCTGTAAATTGATGAAAGACTAAAAATCCATCAAACTTTCATTTAGAAAAATGCATATTATTTTATAGAATTCAACTTTTCCTTTTTTCTTTCTTTTTTCTCTTTCTCTCTTTTTTCCTCCCTCTTCCTTCCCTTCCTCTCCCTCCCTCTCTCCCTCCCCCTCTCTCTTTTCCTTCCTTCCTTCCTTCCTTCCTTCCTTCCTTCCTTCCTTCCTTTCTCTCTTTCTCTCTCTCTCTCCCTCTCTCCTTCCTTCCTTCCTTCTTTCTTTCTTTTTTCTTTCTTTCTTTCTTCTTTCTTTCTTTCTTTCTTTCTTTCTTTCTTTCTTTCTTTCTTTCTTTCTTTCTTTCTTTCTTTCTTTCCTTCTTTCTTTCTTTCTTTCTTTCTTTCTTATCTTTCTTTCTTTCTTTCTTTCTTTTTTTCTTGTTATGGGGCTTGAACTTAGGGCCTGGGCACTGTCCCTGAGCTCTTCTGCTCAAAGCTAGCACTCTATCACTTTGAGCCACATCTCTACTTCCAGTTTTTTGGGGTAGTTCATTAGAGATAAGAGTCTCATGGATTTTCTTGCCTAGGCTGGCTTCAAACCATGACCCTCAGATCTTAGCCTCCTAAGTAGCTAGGATTACAGGCATGAGCCCTACCAGCAGCTGGCAGAATTGGACTTTCTGTATGCTATTTGTTTTATTTTCTATTTTCTAAGATAAATTAATTTTCTTGTCAAGGGAAGTAGCTATACAATAGAGAATAAATTTTGTTCATTTTATGTTGGTAAATTTTGTTTATTTTATGATGGTAAATTATATATAAGTTCTAGTTGTAATGTCATCCATAAAATCATACTTTGTTCATGTTTAGATTGAATATGAAACACGAATTAAGAATATGCAGTTTCTCTCAAAAGATAGCCTGGAAACAAAAGATGAACTAAAAGATGAAGATAGAGAAAAGGTAATACATTTAAAATGATATTTTCTGCTTACAGATGGTGTCTGAACATTCATATTTTAAGATATTATTATAAAGATCTTTTTGTTGGGCTTGAAATCATTAAAGATTTTTTTTTTTTGCTTAGAATATTACTTTAATGTCTAATTGAATTAAGTTTGCTAGAAAGCAGTCACGTTGAGTTTAAGATTTAGATTTCGGAGAAAATCTCAGTGTTATTAGGAGATAAAATTGTGCTTTTATTTTTTCTTTTATTACAAAATTATGTATAATTATAGTAATAATGTTTTATAACTACTTTTTTTGAGAAATGCTTTAAATAAAAATTAAGCTAAATGTAGCATTTTTTTTGCTTTGTGTATATATTTTTCTGTGTATGGTTTTGTACATTTGAACCTTTTTAAAGAGAAAGTGGAAAGAAAAGATTGCATATCTGAGCAATAGACAAAAAGGCCGGCAAGGAATACTTAAATAAATTCTGCTATGTATCTGCCGTAATGCAGGCTTCTAATCCTTCTGCCTATCTCCATATAAATGATTCTGTTCAAGACCATAGATGTTTTCTTCACTAAAAGCAGTAAAGCTCTTTTAGATGAAATGTCTAAAAACATCTTGTAATAACTTGGAGCATGCTGGCAAGAGTAGTCACTTGTGACTATGTGTGAAACCCCCTCAGCCAGTCGATATTGTAATAAGCAAAAATGGTAGCATCACTCCATTATTCAGAAAAGCCAACAGCGTGCTTGTTCCTTAGGCTGCAGCATTCATTAAGGAAAGCTTACTGGGCTGAAAGCTGGAAACAGATGATAACGGGATATGATTTTCATATTTAATGCTTTCCTTGGAAGAGTATGTGTGCTACAGATTGATAGAAGAATCAACTGCTACTTTACTAAAAGACTTTCAGGTTTGCCCTATAGCTACCGATGGAATCATTCAGCCAAGAAATTAACTTTTTCTCCTTTTACCTGCTTTATATATCTGCTAAGCAGGCTGCCTGGCTGCCAGTAAATGTTATTATGCAGTTAACTGTTTGGTATTTAAGACTCTTATCAGAAAAGAAACAGAGGCCACACTATTTTGTTTTTATAGTAGGAGGAAGGTTTTAGTTTTTCTTTCTTCCGTGCATTAGCGGGCATTAATCTGAGTTTATAGGAAGTTTTAGTTTTCTTTCCTCATAGATTAAAAAGTTAAAAAGCTAGAATTTAGAGCATTCTTTAAATGGTAAGATACAAAACACCAAGCCCCACCAATCCTGACCTATATAAAAAGGCCTTTAATGATAAATGATTTATATGCCATTAGATATAGGCCAAATGTGGTATGATGTGATAGACTTTTAAACCATCCATGCAGTTTTTCTTTTTGACATTTGGTCATAAAATAATTGATGTGTTTTTAATCTGCCAACCAGTTTGTTCTCTCTATACCATTCCTGGTAGACCCATTCTTAGTATGACAGTGTCAATGATACTTAAGTAAAATGGGAGAGTGTTTTTTTTTTTATTTGCACTACCAATTCCTTACCTTATACATAGTTAAGAAATCTTCACTTAATAAAATAGAACTATTTTCTTTATGCCGAAAGGTATCATCTTAAAAGCTTTGCCTATTGACTATAGGTAGAAATCAAGTAGATAACATTGGAGAAACTTACATTTTGCCTTTTCTAATTTTTCATTAATGTTCAATTAAAAGGTAAACAGACTATAGCAAAACCATAACTATGCCAATCATTATTAATATTGTTTTCCAAATAAGTCCTTACCATATGGGTTATCTTATATTTTTGGACAATCACGTTAATTATTCTCTATGCCCAGGATCATTGGTCTCCAGAGATTTTCCTAATGCATAGTGGAGTACCACCAATTGAATATAGTATAGTTATTGAATAATTGTTGTGTTTGAGAAGCCACAGTAGGTCCTCTATGTCACAATTCTTGCCCGCAAGTACTTCTTACAAAATAGCCTTTCTGATGGACAGGATAGTGTGCAATAAGTACCAGTTATAGAGAATAAGCATGAGCTGCATGGAGGAAAATGAGACTGCTTCTTCAGCACTAAGTAACACAAACCTTGGTAGGAAAAAAAAAAAGATGGTGTTCAAGTAGGCATTGAAGGGTAAGTAGGACACAGGTCATAGGAATATATGGACATTGTAGCAGTGGGAGGTATTATGGATAAAGGCTTAGGAACAAGAAAGGCCAGAGGATAGTTGGACAGTCTGTCTGAAATCTAAAGAGCTTATTGAGGATATTGTAACAAATGAACTTGGACAGGTACATCATGAATCTTAGTACTTGGAATGATTGTGAGTGCATGTATCCATGCATGTGTGTGTTAGAGTAGATAAAGGAAGGCCTTGGGAGCAGAGCAGTTCCATCACAAATGCACAGCTGCAGAGAGATGAGTCTGGCAATGCAGCACAGGATAAAACTGGAGAAATAAGGGTCAGAGTAGACAGGAGGAACAATAATGGTTATAATGGCAATTGACTGACAATGGTAAGGGATAATAGCCTACCAATATAAAAGGAGAAAGAGCTGATAGCTGTTCTCTTTGAGCAAGTTATGTGCCCTATTTCAGAAGACAGATTCTGCTTCCTTCTGGGGTTCCTTCCAAGTGGCTTTGATCCATAGTCAACATTTACATTGGTTTTAATATGTTTCAGGTACAGATCTAAACATTTATGTATGTACAGACACTCTCCCTCTCTCTCTCTCTCTCTCTCTCTCTCTCTCTCTCTCTCTCTCTCTCTCTCACACACACACACACACATATACTACAACATTATGTAATTGTGGTGCTTGCCTATAATTCTAACACTTGGAAGCCGAGGCTGAGGCAAGAACACGGTGAGTTGGAAACAAGCCTAGGCTATTATAGCTAGATTCTGTCTCAAACAAAGCATTAAATACCTTGACCCCAGATTACACAACTGGTAAGTTAGTAGTTAGACTCAGATTTCAACAGAATAGACTAGTTTAGAGTCTTCTTAAATTTATTTTGATCTGGAGACTAATAAATAAAAACAATTAGTTGGAAATGTAGTGGAAGAGGCCTTTTCTTGAAGAAATTTAGCTTCACAATAAAATTACCTTTTGGTGAGCATCTGTGACTCACAGCTGTAATCCTATTTACTCAGGGAACTGAGTTCTGAGGATTGTGATTCAAAGCCAGCCTGGGCTGGCTACCCAAAAAAAGCTGGAAGTAGAGCTGTGGCTAAAGTGGAAGAGTGCTAGCCTTGAACAAAGAAACTCAAGGACAGTGCCCAGGGTTCAAGCCTCAGGCCTGAACCAGTGCTCCAGTGCTCTGAGTTCAAGCCTCAGGATTGACAAAAAAGAAAGAGAGTGATGAAGGGAGGAGAAGGAAGGAAGGGGGTAGAAAGAAAGAACCTTTTATATAGCATTGGACCAAGCAAATACCTTCCTTTATTCTTTCCTGTACTGGATATATGTGGCAGATATATGACAAAGACTCACAAGTAAGAAATTTGTATTCATAGATATAAGTGCATGTTTGTGGACTGATGGGGCTAAAAAGTACATGAGTAAGGAGGAAAAATGAGCTGGTGGCCCATGCTTTTAATTCTAGCTACTCAGGAGGCTGAGATATGATTATAGTTCAGAGCTAGTCCAGACAGAAAAGTCTGTAAGACCTTTTATCTTCAGTTAACCAGTTGTTTAAGGATACAGGTGGACCTGTTGCAACAATAAGAAGTACAAGTTGTCATGTCCAAAACGAGCTTTACAACGTTGGTACGGGGGGGGGGGGGGGGGGAAGAGGGGGAAGGAGAAGGATTGGGATTGGGGGGGAGGGTGGAGTCTGGGAAGGGATGTGAAGGGTAAACAAAGGAGGAGGCTGCAACGCTTGGTAAGAAATGTACGCATTATCCTGCCCATGTAACTGTAACTCCTCTGTACAGTATGTTCACAAATAAAATTAAATTAAATTAAAAAAAAAAAAAACACACACAAAAACAACTAAAGGGAAGTGCTCAGACAAGACTTGAATTTAAGCCCTAGAACCAGCACCAAAAATAAAAAACGTATGGGGAAAATATGTCATTTTAACAAGAGGAAGATACAGTTTGTGGAAAATACTATTTTTCCCTTTAATGATGACACAGAGGATTAGAGAACTTTCGCATGAGGACAAATACCAATTTCTTATTCTTGCCAAATTCTGTGTACGATATATTTTTAGAAAAAGATACTATGCAGTCTGAAAAAAATGAGTTAGTGTCTAGAATCATTTTTGAAAAAGAATTTGGCAATGACTATCATAATTAATATACTTATACACTTTGTGTTAGTAGTCTAACTTTGGTCATGTATTCCCTAGGAATAGCTTTAGTTCAAAATAGCAGAAATACCATTTGTCTGTTGCAGCATTATTTATAGTAGCCAAAAAAAGTGAAAATCTGAATGGCCAGCCTTAGAGGAATGGCTGGCTTGAGGAAGGGGAGAGTCTAACCACATATTCTCTATATATTAAGCAAAACAAGGATACTTGAATTTGAATTCTGGCTCTGTGACTGTAGGCAAGTTGCTCAACCTGGCTAATCCCTTAAGAATAGACACAATAATAATAGTTGTTTGGAAGATTAGAAGTAATGAGCATAAATCTCTTTAGTTTGTGGTTGGTACTTTGTACGTGTCTAATTGAATAGTCATTGATCCTACTGCCATACTCCTCACTTCTACTGTCACCATTGTCATCCTTTGTTCTTCATTAAGGTAGCCTACTTTGCTCCTGACTTCTTACCACCTCTCTGTGGTAGTAAAGGGGCCGCTGTAGGGATAGGGAGTAGAGAGGCTACCTATAAATTAAAAAGTGGAAAATAATACCACTTGATGATAACAACTCATTATGGATTGATTTTATGGTGGTTTTTACCCTGCAAATAAGTTACAGAATATGCTTTAATAGATCCATGGTAAAATTTGGTAATTCCAACAACTGATAGATTTAATGGCCAGAGACATCTCATTGTAGTCATAATTGTGAGAATTTGTAGTCATAATTGTGAGAATTTGGTGGTAACTATAACTGAAAGTGGAATTAAATGAAAGAGGAATTTAAAAAATCACATTGTCATGGTATATTAGTTTGGTGGGCTGCCTTTAACAAAATGCTACAAACAGAGTGACTTAAATAACAGATTGCTCACAGTTCTAGAAGTTGAAAGTTCAGATAGAAGTGCCAACAGTGTTGGTTGTAGATTGTATCTTTCTGATGTATCCTATAGGCTGTTCTTATATACACAAATAGGGGGGTGGGAAAGGAAAGGAGAGAGAGAAAGAAAAGAAAATATTCCCAGAAAGCAAGGAGCAAGAGAAAGGGACCAAAAAAATTGTGACAAAATGACAAGGAAAAGAAAAAACTTTCCAGTTAGATGAAAATCATGAATCAGTAAAGCTCAAGTCAAGTATGATAAACTCAAAAAGATCTACGCACACATATTTTAAAAAAGAAAACTCTCACGCCTATAATCCTAGCTACTCAGGAGGCTGAAATCTGAGAATCACAGTTTAAACGCAGCCTAGGCAGGAAAGCCCGTGAGACTCTTATCTCTAATTAACCACCAGAAAACCAGAAGTGGTGCTGTGGCTCAAGTGGGAGAACTTGCCTTGAGCTGAAGAGCTCAGGGACAGCTCCCAGGCCCCCCCCCCCCAAAAAGAAAGAAAGAAAACAGAGTCCAAAGCAGACAGAAAGAACAACAACAAATGAATAGAGAAGAGACGAATAAAAGAATACAAATGTATAAGAAGGAATAAAAATTCATAAGTTATTTGAAAAGAATCAACAAGTTGACAATCCCTTAGATTCACTAAGAAAACAAGAAGACTCAAGTTTTTAAAATTAGAAATACAAGTGGGTATTTTGTGACTGACTTTGCAGAAATAAAAAAGATTATAAGAGAAATCTTTTAATAAGTATCAACAAATTAGATCACCTAGATAAATTGGACATATCTCAGAAATGTATGATCCAAGTTGGACCAGAAAGAAGTAGACAATTTGAGTAGACCTTTAAGAAGTTACATGATTTAATTAACAAACTATTGATTTAAAAATTATTTTAAAAATTTATTTGAAATTTGTTTTTACTAGAAAAAGATGGAAATAAAAATATATTAATCAATTTGAAATTATTGTAATTATAAACTAAAATAGATATATCTTGACCAGTATTTTACTTTAAAACAATGTACTTTTATTATTTCATGTTTTGAAAAAAAAGCTTAGGAAGCCTTTAATTTTTCTTGATGGGTGTTGTTGACTCATGTCTGTAATTCATGTCTGTAATTACTCAGGAGGCTGAGATTTGAGGATCATGGTTGGAAGCCAGCCTGGGCAGGAAAGCCCATGAGACTCTTATCTCCAATTAACTACCAAAAAAGATATCGTAGTTCTTTAGACATGGTTTCCTATAATTGTTTGACTATATTTAATGTAGCTAATTTAATGTCTTTATCTGGTATGTTCAATACCTGAACTTCTCATGGACAGTTTCTGTTGGTTGATTTTTTTTCTTGCCCTATATGAGAACCAGTTTCAGGGGCTGGGAAGGTAGCTCAGTGGTAGAGTGCTTGCCTTGCAAACATGAGGCCCTGGGTTCCATTCCTCAGCACCACATAAGCAGAAAACGCCAGAAGTGGTGCTGTGGCTCAAGTGGTAGAGCACTAGCCTTGAGCTGAAGAGCTGAGGGACAGCGCCCAGGCCCAAAGTTTTAAAAAGTTATTGAAAGTTACTGAAAAAAATCTTTCTGGTGTTATCTCTTTTATGGCACAGAGAATTTTCAAAGAATTTTTCAGAGGTCCTATTCCGTCATTTTTTTCTGTCATCGCTGTTCATTTTTTTCTTTTTTACTTCCAAGTAATGTCTTACTTCCAAGCATGTCTTATTTTACAAATAGAAGAAACTGTATAAAGGGAAGCAAGACTTAGATTGTTTTATCTGTGTGTGTGTGTGTGTGATTGTGTGTGATTTTTCTCTCATTATTGGGGCCTCAGGTTTTTCATTTGCAAAGACATTATACCTCCCTATCTATATGCCTCTGTGAAATAAATGCTTTTATGTCCTTGAAAGTGCTTTGGAAGAAAAGTATTTTACTTTCTGGAGGCTTTATGTTTGTTACTTCTCATTCTGCTTTTCACCATTTCCCTTATTCAAGCCATTGAACCAGTGTTTCCTTCTCCTTCCCTATTCTTCTCTCTCCTGCCCTCTCTTAATCTCATTTCCTTGCTTTTCTGATCTCTCCCTTCCTTTTCCTTTCCCTCTCTTCCTTTTTCCCTATCTGACTATGCTTATTCTCCCCATAGACATGACAGTAATTTTAAATTGCTACACATTTTTTAAATCACTTGAGGTTACTTAGGAAAACTGATACTATTTATAATTTTACTACAGATTTTGTATTTTTGTACATGTGATCCTGAGGGTTTTTTTTTTTTTTTTCCTCTGTCTGTCTGTCTGTTTATCTGCCTGCCTGCCTGCCAGCCAGTCTGTCTCTCATTCTTTTTTTTGAGTTTTATTTTTGAGGCAGTGTCCAGTACAGGCTGGCTTTGAATTCATGATCCTTCTACCTGTCTCCTGAGTTCTAGGATTATAGCCATGTACCATCATGTCCAACCTTGGAACTTTTCCTAATACTAATAGTAGAATTTTGAAACCTCCAATATTCCTTTGTATTCTCTCCCTATCCATTTTTGCTTGGTTTGGTTTGCTACCTCTGTAGTTCCGTGATACGTAAGTGAAAATTATCTGATTTTAGAATCTAGAACCACAAATCAATCCAGGTGACAAGGAAGAGGGAGAAGATGGCATGAAGTTCTAGACAGAGGAACTCCATGTAGTTCCGCTATGGTTCTATGGCATGTTTATAGAAATAAAAGTTTTTTGTTTGTTTATTTGGTATGTATGTAATAAAATGTATCCAGTTTAATTTTAATAATATAATTCAGTTGCATTGAGAACATGCATTTGTTTTATCAAACAAGGTAGGTGCTGATTTCATGGTCTTACCTTTCATTTTTGAAAACAGCCAAACTGTTCATATGTTTTATACTTCCATGTCTTCTTGCAGGAGGCAAGGCAGACAGGAATCAACTTGGGAACATCCATGTCAAGAGGGTTGTATCAACCAGCAACAGTCTTTATGGGGCGCCAGATGTCAGCCATTTCAAACATTGGAGATTTCAGTACAGAGCCGAAATCTCCCCAACCCACAAAGAACTTTTCAATTCCTGACCCATATTCACACCAACAGACAGCACAGAGCAGTAATGTGACAGACAGCTGTGTAGTACAAACTAATAATGACACACAGTGCTTAAATAAGACTGACAAAATAGATGGAAAGACATCTCTTCAGATTGGTGAAAAAACGCCAGTCACAGCCAGTGTATTGTCTGAGGAGGAACCAACTCATTGCTTGCAGATAGGAAGCAGTTCACGTCATAGCAAGAATAATTTATCTGAAGGCAAAAAGTCCGCCGAACTCCATTCCTCATTACAGGAAAGATTAAGTCCAGAGAACAGAACCACTGATTTAAAGTGTGACAGTTCCAGCAGATCAGAAGGATCAGAGGGAGAAATACTGACACGAAAACATATTGAAGTTAAGGAAGAAAGAGCCAGCCCGCCAGTCTCTGCAATATCAGTTTCAGAACACTGTGCATCTGAAAATAAGTGGTCTCAAGAGAAGCATTCTGCCTGTGAAGGTTTCTCAGGTTGGATAAGAGGCTGAGTTTTGTTTGCTGGTTTTTGTTAGTGCTTAGTTTTTCTGGATGGTAGTAATCTTACAAATTATGCTCTAATTTTATCTCTGTCAAAAAACAAAATAATGAGAGGTGATTGTGTGGCTCAAGTGGTAGAACACCTGCCTAGCAAGCACAAAGTACTGAGTTCACTAGTACTACCAAAAATAACAACAACAGCAACAATAATAATAGTGACTTTGTCAGTGCATTTCATTCTAGTCAGTCCTTAAATGTGTTCAAGGGAATATTTTGAAAATGAACTCACTGATTTTAAAAATTACTATTAACAACACTTTAGCTAGGCTCTGGTAGCTCAAGCCTGTAGTCCTAACTACTCAGGAGGCTAAAATGAGAAGGTCAAGATTGGAAGTCAGCCTGGGCAAAAGAGCCCAAGAGATTCTCCTGTTAACCAGCAAAAAGCAGGAAGTTGATGTTTGGTTCAGGTAGTAGAACACCTGTGATTCCCCTTGCCAGAGCATGAGGCTTTGAGTTCAATCTCCAGTACCTCTGTGTGTGTGTGTGTGTGTGTGTGTGTGTGTGCATTAAAATATTAAAAGAATTTTTTTATGCTAGTCTTGGAGCTTAAACTCAAGACGTGGGTGCCAGTTTTTTTTTTTTTCTTTTTGTTGAAGGCTACCATTCTACCACTTGAGCATCCCCACTTTTAGCTTTTTTGGTGGTTAATTGGACTTTCTTTCCTGGAAGAGTTTTGAACCATTATTCTCCAATCTCAGCCTCTTGAGTAGCTGGGATTATAGGCATATGCTAGCAGTGCCAAATATTTTTAAGGGATATGAGTGTAGCTCAGTGTGAAGTACATGTTTAACATACATAAGGCCCTGGGTTCCATCCCTAATACTTCACACACAAAAAATACTTTTTATGTATGTATGTCTTTTTGTTTTGTTTGCTTGCTTTTGGTGGTACTGGCATTTTAACTTAGGACCTCATACTTGGTAGTCAGGTACTCTATTACTTGAGCCCTGCCCCTTGCCCAGGTTTTAAATACTAAAATTAGGTGTAAGTTGCATATGTTTTTAACCGACGAATATTTTTTTCTCTGTTACTTCAGTTGTCTCTTTAATTAGTGATCAGTAATCTCTTCATTTTCCCTCTTACAGATCATCTTGCCCATGGGTCCCCAGAGGCACAAAGGCCTTTCATAAAAATGCTGGAAGAACAGGAGGAAGAAAGTTCATGTAGTAGCAATGACCTTACCATCTCTCTAACTGAAAAAGACTCATTTTTGGAGAATCTAGAACCACAGCCATATCCAGGTGACAAAAAGAAGGGAGAAGATTTCAATCAAGAAAATAATGTCCTATCCACTGAAAACAAGAATTGTGATCCAGAAAAGGAATCCTCTACTAACTCACCAACAAGACAGTAAGCTATTGCTTCTCTTCTCTTTTACTATTCTGTTTTTATTGTGTACATTTTTAGAAACCAAATCACTAGGATCATTTTATTGAGCACTTGCCATGATGGGGTAAGGGCTTCTTAAGTATTATAAGTCGCCTTTTAGATATGATCTAATTTTATTTCTTTTTTCCTTCTACTTTTTCTTTTCCTCTTCTATTTCTTCTTCTTTCCTTCCTTTCCTTTCCTCCCCCCCCCTCTCTCTCCCTCTGTTTTCTTTCTTTCTGTCTGTCTGTCTCAAGTAGCATTTTTGTGTGTGCCAGTTCTAGGACTTGAACTCACAGCCTGGGTTGGGTACTATCTCTGAGCTTCTTTTTGTCCAAGGGTAGCATTCTACCACTTGAGCCATTTCTCTACTTTGAGCTTTTTGGTTGTTAATTGGAGATAAGAGTCTCACAGACTTTCCTGCCTGGGCTGGTTTTGAGCCTCGACCCTCAGGTCTCAGCCTCCTGAGTAGCTAGGATTACAGGTGGGATCCACCAGTGCCTGGCTCAAATAGCTTTAAAAAGTATCTTTTAAAATAGTATCTTTGAATTATGGTGATTGGTAGTTATAACCAAATAATCACTGGTTAAAGTTTAAAGTAACCTACCCACCTATCCCCTGTCATCTTAGTCTGCTTCTCTGTCCACTTAATCTGCTTTATTTTTTTGTCATTTCTTTTTTCATTTTGGTATATTTATTTGTTTCTCAGTTTTTATTTCCTGCTTCTCCTCCCATATTTGGGAGAGAGATAGGTTTCATCTGAATAAGAGCAAAGGGAACACAATACAGAGGCCATGCAGTGAAAGCATACTTGGTGTTTCTAGGAACAGCAAAGAGGAAAGTGCAGCAGGATCAGAAGATGTGAAGGGAAAGAAAAGGTGGAATGAGAGTAGTCCCTATCATGGTGGATCCTGTAGGCTGCAGGCAGAACTTTGGATTGTACTTCAGAGGAATTGGTTGCTTAATGGAAGATAAACTGGGAGAAAGGGAGAAGAAAAGAGATCTGTTTGGAGAGTATTATAATGATCCAGGGGAGAAATGTTGTTATCTGGACAAGGGTATCGTCACGGGTGGTGAGAAGTGGCAGATCCTGGATATACTTTTATGAAGAAGCAGCAGGATTAGAGATTGGATGTGGGTGGTGTGAGAGAAGGGGCAGAAGGATGGCTTCAAGATTTAGTGGCAGTGGGGCTGGGAAGGTGGCTCGGTGGTAGAGCACATGCCTTGCATGCCAGAGGCCCTGGGTTCGATTCCTCAGCACCACATAAGCAAAAAGAAAAAAGCCGGAAGTGGCGCTGTGGCTCAAGTGGTAGAGTGCTAGCCTTGAGCTGAAGAGCTGAGGGACAGCGCCCAGGCCCAGAGTTCAGGCCCCATGACCAGACCAAAAAAAACAAACAAAAAGATTTAGTGGTTAAGCCAGGCGCTGGTGGCTCACCCCTGTAATCCTAGCTACTCAGGAGGCTGAGATCTGAGGATAGCGGTTCAAAGCCAGCCCGGGCAGGAGAGACCGTGAGACTCCTATCTCCAATAAAACCACCAGAAAACCGGAAGTGGCACTGTAGCTCAAGTGGTAGAGCGCTCGCCTTGAGCTGAAGAGCTGAAGGACAGCGCCCAGGCCCAGAGTTCAAGCCCCATGGCCGACCAAAAAAAAAAAAAAAAAGATTTAGTGGCAGTGACTGGGTGAGTAGATACTGAGTTACTTACTAAGATAGGAATTCATAGGAGCCATTGATTTAAGGGAAAGCAATCAAAATATAAATCCTAGACAGGTTATATTTGAGATCTTTTTAACATTGAAGTATAAATGCATAGTAAACAGATTTCTTCAAGTCTGGAATTCAGAGAAAGGTCAGAAATAACATTCCAAGGTTAAAAAGCTGGTCACTGGTACCCTTAGAGTCCAAACTAGAAGTCTGGTGCTAGTATTCATGTTCTTAATCTTCTTGTTTTGAAATCACAATCATAATGGTAATATACCCCTGAACTACCGCAGGTTCTGTGTCAGGCTCTATATTAAGAGCCTTATTCATAAACATTAATTCTATATTATGCCCATTTTATAGGTGAGGAAATGTAAACACAGAGTTAGTAACAGTCACAAGTAATTTGGCATACTTGGAACTTGGTCATCTGGGTCCAGAATCAGCATTGTTAACTGCTACTCTATCCTGTCTCCCCCATATCTCTCTACTGCCTAGGTGGCTGAAGTATCATCCAAGATAATATTTTGTAAGGTTAAAAATAAACTCAAAGTGCAAGTTATATTAATTAAGAAAAGAAGAGCCTTCCAGACTCAGATAAACTGATGAAGTGCTATGTTCCTTTCTTCAAACTTGAATGATTTACAAAGTTCCTTTGTTCTCTCTCTCTGCCTAGAGTGTTATTAACAGCAGGATGTAATGCAACCTTTCAAACTAAGTTAAATGGAAGTCTTGGTTTCTATGAGTCATAAAAAAGGGAAAATAGATTGAAACATATCCAATGAATTTAATTTATCCCTTTTTTCAAAAGTTACATATAGGAGGGAAGTTATTCATCTAGAAAGATTTGCTTCTGGAAATCCTACAGCCCAGAATAATAAGTTAGAGTAGTATTCTCTTACAACCTACCTCAAAATCACTTTAAAAGAAGCAAAAGTATATTTATAAATTGATTATTTTTTCAGACATGATGATGCCTTCCTGGGTCTGTTCTCAGCTGACTATTTTCTTCTGCACAGTCACTAGTCTTGCTCTCAACATAGATAGTGCCTGAATAATCCTTCTGTCTTCATATAGATTTTAGCCTTTGTTCCCAAAATAAAGTTGTACATTTTACTTTTGGAAAAAATAACACAAGGCCATTAGGTGCAACTATCAGTACTCTTAGTGTTCTGCTTGGCATGTCTTTCCACAATCTTGCTGTGCCTCTATTAGCTTAGCTATTTGATCTGGAAAACCTAGGCATTCCTGTGATGGTTAATCTTGGTTGCCAACTCAATTGGTTTGAGAAGTAGTTAGGAGATTAGTAAAGCACACCTCTAGAAGTGTCTCTGAGGGCATTTCAGCGACACTTAGGATTAACTAAAGGAAAGAACCTGCCCTGATTGAAGGTGATAAAAGAGAAAAAAGGAGAAAGCCAGCTTCATAGGCATTCTTTCTACTTCCTGTCTGGATGGGATGATTTACCTTTGGCACACGCTTCTACCATTATGACATATTGTATTTCTACAGGTATAGAAACATGGAGCCAAGGGACCATGGGTTGAACCTTCTGATATAAACACTTCCTCCCTTAAGTTGCTTTTTTCAGGTATTTGGTTACAGTAATGGAAAGTTAACATATTTTCTTTGTCCTTATTTTGGTTTACATTTCTGAAATTTCTTAGCCTGGTGTTTAGGGAAGTTATCTTGAGATCTAATCAAAAGCAAAGTAAGGGGCTAGGAAGGTGGCTCAGCGGTAGGGTGCTTGCCTTGCATGCATGAGGCCCTGGGTTTGATTCCTTAGCACCACATAAGCAAAAAAAACCGGAAGTGGTGCTGTGGCTCAAGTGGTAGAGTACTAGCCTTGAGCAGCCTTGAGCTGAAGAGCTGAGGGACAGCATCCTGGTCCAGAGTTCAGGCTCCAAGACTGACCAAAAAAAAAAAAAATAAAAGCAAGCAAAGTAAATGAGAATCATAGTCATTATCACATACTGTCTGTAGAGATGTTAAAAGAAATTTTTGTTGGCCAGCTTGAACTCCAGCCTTTGCCAATTAAAACATTTTATTGTATGGGGCTGGGAAGGTGGCTCAGTGGTAGAGCGCTTGCCTTGCATGCATGAGGCCCTGGGTTCGATTCCTCAGCACCACATAAGTAGAAAAAGCTGGAAGTGGTACTGTGGCTCAAGTGGTAGAATGCTAGCCTTGAGCTGAAGAGCTGAGGGACAGCACCCAGGCCCAGAGTTCAGGCCCCACGGCCAAACCCCCCCCCCCAAAAAAATTTTTTTTATTGTAAAAGTGATGTACAGAGAGGTTACTATTACATAAGTCAGGTAATGAGTACATTTCTTTTTGAACAGCATCTCCCCCTCCTTTATTCTCTCCCAGTTTTTCCTGACTTCCCTTCCCCCAAAGTTCATTTCCAACATAGTGTCTAGTGAGTATCACTGCTGAATTGGTTCACCTTTAGTCCCATTGTTTTTTTGCTCTCCCTTCCATACAGAACAATCTTGGCATAAAATAAGTAATACATACATATGTGTGTGTGTGTGTATTGTATCTCTATAAAAATTATAGATTGTTTGCTTGGTTATTAGAATATAAGACTGTGTCTCACTTACATGCAGTAGTTTCTTATTACCTGAAGGAACTTGGTTCTAGAAGTCCTGTAGATACCTTTAGAGTCCTGCTGGTACTCAAGTCCTCTTCATAAAATGGTACAGTATTTGTGTATAGCTCACTCACATATTCTCATATACATACCATCATGTCTAGGTTACTTATAGCACCGAATAAAATGTAAATGGGATATAATTATTATATTCTGTTGATTAGGGAATAAATGACAAGGGAAAAAACCTGTTCATGTTAAATACAGACATAATTTTTAAAAATATTTTTGTATCCTTCTCAATGTGAAGAGGTGACTGCACTGATTTTTTTTAAATCCAACTTTTTGAAAGATGTCTTAATATCTAACAAATTGTTCATAGACTCTTCAACTTTGTATAAATTCAACTACAATATATGCTTTAAAGAACACTTTGTTTCTTGATTTTGAATCTTTACATATGTTATATCCTTGCTCTAGTTTTGTTACATACACTTCATGGGACATCTGGGACAATATTGAAGGAGTAGGGATAATGGATATTCTTTGTTTAATTTAAATTTAAATTTATAGTACAGAGGCGCTACAGTTATATAAGTAAGGTAATGAATATATTTCTTGAACGTTGTTACCCCCCTCCCTCATTTTTCTCCTACTTTCCTCCCTATCAACTCCTCTCCCCCAGAGTTGTA